AATTTCCTTTAAACTGCAAGGACAATCACCTTCAGTCAGTGAATCTATTGAATCTATTCCACACCTCTGTTTGCCTTTGATTGCATTATAAGATCATCTTAAGTCAATCTACGAAGATACAGTTAATCACATTTTCCACACCTTAATAATATGCCAGTTTTCAACAATTTAGTGGATATATGGCCAAGAAAAACAATCTACTTCAAATCCCCCGCTCCCTCATTTCTCAAATTAGAGAGAGAACCACCAAACAACCCTAGACAATGCAATCAAGGAAGAAGAAACTCATGCTTGATAAGGAGGCTGCTCTATTTCTCACTATTTTATCTATCAACTTTTTCAGGTAAACTTTTCCATCCTTTTCCTATGCGGGTATCTCAGTCTTTTTATATTTCTTCTAATCCATTCATGGTTGGTCTGACATCATTGACGTGGACATGAAGTCACACAAAATATGCCAGGCACAACAGCCACTTTGACAAATTTTCGTTTCTGTTACAATAGGTTTGTTTGATCACGAAGATAGGTCCATAGGGTGCAGAGGGGCGGGGTCATCATAATACTACATCTTACGAACATATTATTTCAAGGTGAATTATCATCCAAACAACATTCAAGAACAATAGTATGAAGATGAACAAGCCTCTAGGATAAACCTGTTTAGTATCTCTTCTTCACTAAAAGTTTTGACAAAGCGAAGAGCTTTATCGACTCCAATTCCCTGTACCCCCTGTAAATCATGATCATTGCCAACAAGTAGAGCGATGGCTATTAAACGATTCCTCTTTAACCCCAGACCATCTTCAATATCTGAGATATGATAGCATTCAAAGGGTTCCTGCATGCAAGAAGACATTTATATTTGCCTCAAAACAACTAAGCCAACATCAGCACCTTAAAGATGGCAATGACTGTTAACCAAGAGTAATAAGCAACTTAAAATATTTATTCTTGCACATTAGGCCTTCTCTTTCTGACTTCTCCCTGTTTGGAGACATTAATAAACTTTCAAATCTCATTCAAGTTTCCTGACATCACCCCAAACTTTAACCCATGTTCTCTACATCAACGTCCTAGAAGTTCACATATCTAACTTGCATCTCAATGTAAAGCTATTCTTATTGTCTGACGAAAATTACGATGTACCCTCCAGGCTTCTGCATTAACTGATCAACATGGGAAGCTTGAACTATCTGCCGAAGCTAAATGTATCTTCAATCCAATATATAAAAAAACCAGCCTAAAGATAGAGTATACAAACCATGTTTCGGGTTTTTGATGGATAAGAGAGATCATAGACAAACCTATAGAAGAATCCGCAACTAGGCGGGTAAACATGACAAGGCACAAATTTCTCCAGTAAGAACATTGTGTGAAGGGATAAGTAAGCTTAATGACAGAGAATGTGCAGAACTTACTCTGGAATTAGGATGGATGCATTTAATCACACAATTTGCCCCAAACAGAAATGCATCGCTATCAGCCGTAATACAAGCATCTACGTGGCCCTCATAGTTTAACTGAGCACACAGTGCCTCAGCCTCACCTTTTGCTTCTAGCACAGGCATACCAAGCAGTTCCAGAAGTTCCTATAGACACGACACAGACAGATAAACAATTCCAAGGCTCGTCAAATAATATCCAGTATCATGCGTAATCTTAGGCTTGTAGTGCACCAAACTCAGTAGGAATGCTGTTTGGCAACTAATTCAGTGAGGTAATAGGTCAAGTACTCAAGAGTGAAACTCACCACACACTCTTTTACACATTTCCTAAACGCCTGGTTTCTCTCAACCAAAACACCATCCTCAGGCACCGGCAAACTCGACAAATCAAGCCCAGAAGCTTGGAAGAACCTCCTGATCCTCGCCTGAGATTTCAGCGGAGAAGGAGTGCCATCGACCACAAAAACAGGAAAAGCTCCAAACTACACAAATCTAAAGCTTGTCAAACTAATGCCATAACGAAGCTAATGCGAACTCAACTTATTTTTTAGGGAAAAAAAGAACTCAGTCTGAAGCAAATGCACATGTCAGCAATTGTGATCAGTGCTCGTAACCGTAAAATGCAAGAAACAATCGTATCCTCGAAGCAAATAAGCCATAAAAAGTTGCACTTAAATCACAATGAACCCCTAATTTCCGCATGAACCACAACTTCCATTCTAATTTCATTTCCTCGTCTTCCGAGCAACCAAACAGACCACAGCAAACAAAAGACGGCAGATGAAGCTCGACCCGACAAAATTCGTCATTCTAGTCGAACTCAAAAGGTCTTTTTTTTTTTCCACAAAAAGTACACGCGGGCAGACACACTTTTGCCCTCAAGAACAGAGTTGCCCAAAATGCCGCAACAACAACACACACCTTGGAAAAGAGATTGATCGTGCGGAAGAAGGTGAGCCTAAGATGCGGGTTGCGAGCGAAAGACCTCTTCTTGATGGCCGTCTCGTGCTGGACGATCCAGAACGACAGGTCCACCGCGACGCGCTTGTCCCTCAGATAACCGAAACCTTCGTGTCGGGCATAAGGTTTGAGCAAGTCCCAGAAGTGACCCCCCACGCCCATCGCTCCGGGTCGGGCTAAAGTTTCGATCTTGACGAGGTGGGCGGCGAGACGAGAGGCCTCCTGCGGTGGTGAACTCGCATCGCAGCAGGTCGAAGGAAGCGAGAAGCGGAGGCGGAGAGAGACCGAGCGAGCGCGAGGGTGGCAGAGACGGCCGGTGGTCGGACGTTTTTCGTGCCGTCGCCGGTGAGAGAATCGTCGCCCAAATGGAAGTAAAGGGTTGAGCAATAAGGCCTGGGCCTTTGGGAGGCCCAAAAACTGCTCCGTCTTCCTCGTTCCCTTTCCTTTTCCGGAATATTAGAAAATAATTTAGATGAATATGAAGTTTTCGTTTGATAAATTTAAAGTACAAATATTCAAATATGTTAAAATTTCAACTCGGTTAATCTCTAGGAATTCACGCGAGTCTCGCCCGTCCGTCCACGTGATGATATGCCATCCCCTCGGTCACTCCTGATCGGGAGACACGGCGTTTCGAACATGGAATCCGCCGCATCCGAATCAAGCGCTTAACCACTCGGATCAGTCGTTTAAGATAATCACGTCTTTTTATTTCTATGTGCGATTGCTTTTTGTACATTGATTGATTCGATATGCACGGCTAATTTGGCATGAGTAATATTAACGACAATACACCAACCATCTGAGTAATATTAGCTCAGATGTCGTGGACAACATAGCAAACGCAAGTACAAGGCATTTGAATAATTCTGTGGAACTATTCACTAAATAACCTTTTCAAGTTTCAATGAATAAATCCATCTCGTGATAAAAAAAAATTTTGTTATTTTATGGGCAAATTTATTTTCCTTTTATAGTGAGGCGGACCAAATAGAGAATATATATGTATGTATATATATATCCGTCCATAATCCATCCACCGAAAGTCATGGGCCGTATCAATCCCTAGTACATGATGCATTTGCCAGCACTGCAATGCAATAAACAACAAGAACCATAAAGAACCACATGCGCGAGCCAGCCGACAATTGTGCAGCACTTTGCGATCCATACGCAACATCGGATCCTTCATTTTGACTCGCTCGGCGCGCACACATTTGTTAATTGCACGTGTAATTAGCTAATAGTACGTGTCCACGTGGACATCCTCGGCGACTTGTCCCGAGGGTGGAATTCTTACATGGATTAGGCCCATCGTGACCCGATTGAATCTCAATTGTTGATGATGATGTAAGTCTCATATGATTTGTGACGTTGAGATCATCTTGTTCGCGATATATTGGATCCGTTTTAGAGTTTTTTTCTGGCCTGTTCAAAACTTAGGTGAGCTAATTAATCAAGTGTACTAGTCACTTGGACGATAATCTATAGATTCATGTTGACTTTCTCAATTACTGGGCGACGACATATCTAGTCGTCACTGTTGGGGCCGGTGGCTCTAGTTTTAGGACGGTGTCGTGTGTACTATCATCGACGATAAGTAGTACACACCAACCGATTCAAGCTTGCAATCGCCGATGCTAAGGAGCTCATACAAAAACCTTAGGATCGTTTATAAGCAAAATAAAAAGAAAGCGAGTAAGCCAAAAACTGCTCTACATAATTTTAAAAATCAACGGTACAACAAATGTACATCGGAAGTGATTATCATGAAAGGAGAGTTTGAATATTCGAACCTCTAAAGAGCTTTTCAAGTATCATTTATCCCAGTATTGTTCACCTCTCATTTGATTTCGGCCCCGAAGTGTTTTCCGAAACAGGAGTAAATACTACAAATGCTTGAAATGACATTATTTAGCAATTGAACAAATATTGAAAAATATCAAAAGACGAAAATTTCGGGGCCACTAAACTATTTTCTCAATCGCAAGGATCTCGAAGTACATGAAAACGTAAGTCCCCACGAACATTAAAAGATAGAGCGAGCTTGCTATCTCAATCTTGCCATACTATAGATATATGAAACTTTATATAGAATTTCAATATTCCCAGAGCTACCCAACAAAGATCTCGAATCACTTCGGATGCATGCACGCCATTCTCGACACTTAATGCATCTGCCTCTTTTTGAAAATCTTGCTACCATACCGGTGGTCCATGAAGACTTGTGATCTTTCTATGCCAACACATTATTGAATGTGGAGATGGAGACTGATACATGCCAGTCATATGAAGAAGATCATAAGATCCTTCCCTTGTTTGGTACGCTCCAAATGGCTCCATGTGACAACATAACTCACGAATACAGCCATAATGCGACCATGCCATATGCCCTACCTGCATTAGCACCTCACAGAAAAATCCGATTGATTTGACACTTAAAATATGATCTGCTGTCCCACACTTGGACGACATGCTTCCCAAGTCCAAATCCACCAAATCTCATATGTTATCCCATAAAATTTGAAGTCCCATACTTGATTTTCCTTTTTCTTCTTCTTTTTTGTGTTTTTGGTGATTTAAGAAGAGACGGGAGAAGCATCCTGGCTTCTGCACCGGTTTTGTCCATTTCTTGCGTTTATTGCACTTTGCTTGCTGTACTCATCTGGAGATCTCCACCTGGAAGCATCCTCTCTCCTTCCACCCCTTCTCTCCTTCCACCCCTTTATAAGTTCTTCTCCTTCACTTCACTCTCTCCCCACTCACCCACTCACACACCAAAACCAAACCAAAACCAAAACCAAAACCAAGACCAACTCTGTTTAAAAAAGGGATCACTACCCATTATTTCTCTTGAGGCATTGCTGGGAACCCTTGTCTTTGTTCTCGTGTCTGCACCACTCACTCGCAGTAATTCTTTGCTTTTTCTTGATAATTTTGTTGGCATTGCGCGTCCAAGCACTAGTTCCTGCCTGGTCATTACTGACAAGAATGCAGAAGCAGAAGATGTTGCTCAAGGACTTCCTTAGAGAAGATTCATGGTCTTATTCTTCAAATATTGAAGCAACAACACTTGTCAAAAGCAGATCAAGAAGAATCGCAGCCTTAGAGACCATGGTCAATGCATTCAAGAACATCCCTTTCAGTAGTTCGATGAATAAGCCCTACTCAATGATCTTCCTAAGAAGCCTCTCAAGAAAGCTGTCAACGCAAAGATTACCCAAGAAAAGCAGAAAAGGCGATGGTCCTGATCATGGTCATGCAGGTGGTGGTGAGCAGGCCAAAATGACCGTCAGGATCAAGGACATCATACGGTGGAGATCCTTCCGGGACTTGGCCGAAGAGCAATCTTGGCGGTCGGATTTCCATTCCTCGCCGCCACATCAATGCTCTTCTGCGGCAACAATTACAACCACAGGGTCAAGCAGTAGTACTGAGTGCAACAGTAATGGCTCAAGTTGGTGTGAAAGTGATTTCACGCTGGAGTTTTCACCGCCCTGGAATGGCAATTTTCAGGAATACAGTGAACCTTGTGTTGGTAAATACACAGTGGAGGCTTTACCAGGACCACCAACAAGAAGCTTCTGCGATATTGAACCCAAGGTGAGTTGCTGAATTTAAAAACTTATATATTAGTGCTAGATCTACATATTATAATGTTTCGATTGGTTGTTGTCTGCTGTTCAGCGTTCACTGTTCAGGGTCTATGTTCCCCCTTAATAAAATACAGATGTGACTTGGCATGTACTGGAATAGTACTTGGTTTAATTAATCTAAAATGCATAGTTTATTCCATAAGACAGTGAAACTCTTGTCTCATGTGTAGCATATTTGTATTAACTTTGTCTCAAAATACAGATGAGACAAAATAGAGGTCATTCGTGTTCTCTCTACAGTAGTACAACTACGGGAACAAAAAATAGGAGATTCAATGTTGCCTTAATATAAGCCTTTTACACAGAAGTTACAACTTAATAAAAACATTGGCCTTATTATTTGCTTTTTTGGATGAATTATTGCCCTTATCTTTTTTCTGACCAGGTATTGTATTTAACTTGGACATTTGCCTAAGTAAACTGGTTTCTGTTATTAACGTATGTGTTTCTTGCATTGACACAGGGAGTCTCATTCTATGAGGAGAAAGAACAACACGGTCCTGTTTCTGTAATTGATGCTGAATTTGGAGAAGATGAAGGCTTTTGTTGGTCTCGAGATCAAAGCCAAGGCAATATTTCGACAGGGGATGCCCAATTCCTTCTGCGACAACCTTGGCAGTTCAAAAGTGTTGCCTATTCGCAAAGTTCCACGTCAATGGAGGATATGGATGAAAGATCTGATGATGAAGAGAATGATGAGTTCAGAGAAGAACAGGGAGACTCAAATGAACCTGCTGAACAAACAGCAACGATGATGCTAAACCAAGTCAAAGCTTCAAGTTCTGGTCTTAGCATGAAGACCAATGTGGATAAGTTATTGTTGGACTACTTCAAAAGTGAACTAGCCACACTAGGATGCAACACTATAAGCGATGACTCTGAGCTTGTGATGGTGAGCACCGCAAAAAGTTGGATGAATAACGAGCCCGGTGCAAAGTGCCAATGGGGAATCAATAGCAAGAAAGATGCTTATATGAAAGAAATGGACAGAGGAGAGAAGTGGAGAAAGTTTGAAGAGGAAAAAGAGGAGATAGCTATGGACTTTGAGGCTAAGATTATGGGTATTTTGATGGATGAGCTTCTATCTGATTTCATATTGAACTGACCAGAGAGAAAAATCTTGTTAGATAAAGGGAAAGCAATGTAAGGATGTAGCAGAAAGATGTAATGCATAGCTCATGCTAAAAAAGTTGTCCCTGCTATTCTGTATGTCTAGAAGAGGAACATAACTTCTGTAGCAATCTAGAGAATTATGTAAAAATCAAACCTGTAGGCATTCTTTTTATTGGTATCATGATTAGAAGAAATGACCATCTTTTGTCTTAAAAGACCACTCTACAAGAATTGAAGCTCTTCGCTCATATTTCGTTCACTAAATCATGTGACAGATTTATAGATTGGATGATTGGTTTGCAACAAACAATCTTGTAAATCGCTAACAAACAAATTTTAGGGAAAGCTATTATTACATCTCCACCATTATTCTCTTCCTTTTATAATGCATGAAGATATTTCAAGATAATGCTGAGCACTTGAGGGCTATTCGGGCAAAGTTGGGACTTACTGTTGGCCCATGAACCTCTTCTAGGGGCAAGCTCAGGCTGGTTTGCCAAAGCGGCCTGGCAATCAAGCCTGCGCTTGCTGGGCCTAATATAAATTGGTCTTTCATATTCAATTATAAAGTTAACCATTGGGGTTTGCCCTAGTGGCCACTGTAGTTTCAGACGTATTTTTCGACTCTTACCTCTTGCAAGAGGTAGGACAAAAGTTTGAGAGTGAGTCGAGAGTTAGAGTAGGACAAAAAAAAAAAATTCAATTATAAAGTTGAGTGGGTTAGATGGGCCGAGCTCAAGAAGAGAATCGTTTGTTTATGTCCGTCAATCTAATGACATAAATAAATCTTAGGCGACTGTATAAAATCATTATCCAAACCCTTCCATATCCCGGACGGTCCAGTGAGGCATGCTGATAGTCGAATGCAGGATCAAGCGTAAACCCATTCGCATCCTAGCAAATTCAAAATCAAACATTTGTAACGTGTGTACGCACTACCAACTACGGTCGCATAGTGCCACATTCCGCATTCTCTTTCTACCAACAAATGAGATGGACCAGATAAGAGCATCAGCGCTTGTACCGTCATATTCCACTTTTGAGGACAAACCCTTCTTTTATACCTACACATTTCCCAGAAGCATGAAAATCCGCCGCCTCTTCACTGTAAAGAGCAAATGAGATCTGAGAGCACAAAGCCAAAAATGTCAGGAGATAACATTGTATATAGCGGTAGCTGACAGGATATGAAAGTAGGGAACTTTGCAATTTCTAAGCATGCAAAATTGTATTTTTGTTTCCTCATTTATACCGAGTGATGTTCCGAGACAATCTTGTGTAGGAGGAGATCAAGCTTAATCCTTCGGCTCGGTCAAGCACAAATTAAGGACACACGGATCCGCCAAAAAAAAAATCGACATGATCTTGAAGATTATTATGCCATGACAAGAACCCAAATCTGGAAAAATTTCACGAGGAGCACAAACAAATAAGGCAAACATGGGCCGTAGGATCCCTGACGGTGTGAGTCTGTCAATTTTATGGTGCTGACCAATATCCCAGAAAACTCAAGACGGCCACACGACCCTACTTGGTACTATAAAAATTCGGACTTTAGTGGCCGAGGGAGAGAGAGAGAAAGAGAGAGGGAGGGAGGGAGAGTAGGTGGTTACAGGGAGAGGGAGATTAGGAACTTGAGATTGGCTTTCGCTCCAACACTGTCCTCACCTGCGTTAGCCTCTCCGGGTCACATCTCATCCATTTGTTCCTTTGTGTGAACTCTACTCCCTCCCACCAAATTGGTGAGAACACCATCTGTCTCTGCTTATTTTGCGTGGCTCTGAATCTCCACAGATTCATTCTTCTGCCTCAAATTTTATAAATTTCCCGTTTTTTGACGCCTGCCCACTTCACGTTTTGCGTGTTGTTAGTCTTGGGTTTCCCTCAAAACCTGAACTTTCCTCGTCGATTGCACGATTGGTTCCATTCCCAGTCTTTTTTTCTAACTTGTGAGGTTGTTTCATGCAACTATGGTGATATGGTATTGGTCATTGGTAATTGTCTCGTGTTAATTTTCTGTTGCTTTTCACAACGGCGATCCTTTCTGCATTGGCGGTGGTGAGTTTCATTATTAAATGGCTCTTCTGTTTGTGTTCATCAGATTGGACAGGCTGATTGGTGATTCGTCAATTTGAGTAGAAGTCCGTTTCGCCTGGATTCAGCTCCACGCTTCTGTTGATTGCTTTCTTTTATTTGTCCAAGTTGATTCGCAAAGGTAAAATCCTCACCTGTTATTGAAATGATTTCTCTCTTCGATGTCTAGTTCTGATTACAATCAGTTGGAAAGTTCACGGGGCCATTTGGTATGCCAAGCAAAGAAAACAAGAGGAACCGTTTGTTATGAGGTTTCATCGATCTGTGAACTTTTCTTATGGTCCTTGGCTTGGAATGCGGTATGACAGGACTTTGTGAACTTCGTGAAATTGCTGATAATCCCATGGACTGCTGGCAGGGCCAAGGCAGACTTTCTTGTGGTTATCCATGGTTAACAATCTGTATTATTTCTGTAGGTGCATTATATTGTGCAGTATGCGAATAAGAAGACCATTAGAAATATTAACATCCTAGCATGTAGGCAGGTAGACTGAATTTGCACTGTTGTTGGGTGTACTTTTTAATAGTTGTTGGTGAGCAAGCTTGCTGCTCCTGAAGTATACAGGAAGTTATATGTTGACAACAACATCCTTGGATCAAGGGACTGGAATGCTGGAAAATTTTCAGTCTCTTTCCATCATAGGAAGACATGGGTTGTACAAAAAGCTTCTTCAGCATTTTTCCATTCTCTGTAATTCAAGGGCTTAAGAATTGGTCCATAAAGGAGTGGGTGAATCCAGAGTCTGTTTATTTTGCAATTTTGTCACTTAACTTATTAAATGACCAAAAAATTTCTCTATTGGGGGGTTCCAGCCGCTCCTGCTAAACTAGAGTCATGACTCTCTCAGCCTGTTTACGAGATAGCAAAATGTGACATAGTGTTGTGTGCAAAATGCATGTTTTGCTGCTTTTGCAATGGCCATTCCGTAACAATGGTGGAAGTGAGAGATTCTCGAAATTGCACCATTTATCTATCTCAGTGATCTTGTGTATTGGTGATATTCTCTGCGAGCTTGTTAACAGGGTTATCTTTTATAAGGCCCTAAAATGCAATCCCCTGTCTTCATTCATCATACTACGAGTGTTTTAATAATGGGTGTCTTCTGAATAATCAGCATGATTGTTGTAGTATTTTCTCATGCTATTTGAAAATTCTTTACTAAGTGTTCCTGGAAATGCATGGCTTTTGATGCAACATATGCTATGAAATGAGTTTCGTAGAGAAACTGATCTACTGTTGGCAGTTACATCTTTCGGAAATTTTATGACGTTGTTTTCCTGATGAAGGCCCATGCTTTTCTGCATTTGCCAATAAATCCTGTCTGCCAGGAGGGCAGAGATACAGAGAGAGAGTTATTTTCTTTTCACAAGGATGCAGTCCTGTGGCTGTATAATGTTAACAAATATCTTTTTACTCGTGTTCCGTGATGGATGCTCTGTATTTTTAACTCCTCATTCAAGTCTTTTTCATTTAATACCGATGCCTGGGCCAAAATTTGATGGTGAACTAATGTGCAGATGGCGGATGTGGCCAAGGATTTGACTGCAGGAACAGTTGGTGGGGCAGCACAATTGATTGTTGGTCACCCCTTTGATACCATCAAGGTCAAGCTCCAAAGTCAGCCAGCTCCAGCCCCTGGCCAACCTCTCAAGTACTCGGGTGCCATGGATGCAGTAAGACAAACAATGGCTGCCGAAGGCCCAGGCGGTTTGTACAAAGGCATGGGAGCCCCACTTGCCTCAGTGGCGGCCTTCAATGCCGTCCTCTTCACCGTGAGGGGGCAAATGGAGGCATTACTGAGGTCCGAACCCGGTGCCCCTTTAACCATCAATCAGCAGGTTGTTTGTGGGGCTGGGGCTGGACTTGCTGTTTCCTTCCTTGCTTGCCCTACTGAATTAATTAAGTGCAGGTCAGTGTCTGTGGTGTTCACTTTTTCTCTCTACTTGATCCAGTTTTTTGAATCGTTGAACAAGCTTCCAGACTAAACTGCAGCTCCAGTGCTGAACACATTTTCTGAATGTATATTACAATATAAAAGGAGCACGACAATAAGTTTCGAAGGACGTTTCTTCAGCTGCAATAAGTATGCATGGAAAAAGAGGCAGCTTTGTATGTCATATTATTGAATGCATGAGAGCATCGTACGTTATATGATAGATTCATCATATCTGGCAATGGTTAAGACATGCCATGAGGCACCTGTTTAAAAGATTGAAATGGCCTCAATGTTTCTGTCTCTTTTGCTTACAAGAAGGGATGGTAAAAGTTTTATAAACATTGCATGAGCAGGTTGCAGGCACAAAGCGCTCTGGCAAGTGCTGGCCCCACTACTACCGTGGCAGTTAAGTATGGAGGACCAATGGATGTGGCAAGGCACGTTCTGAAATCGGAAGGTGGTACACGAGGTCTGTTCAAGGGCTTGGTTCCCACTCTGGCCCGTGAAGTACCAGGAAATGCTGCAATGTTTGGCGCCTATGAGGCGATGAAGCAGTACCTGGCTGGAGGGCATGATACTTCTGGATTGGGACGAGGGTCGTTAATCGTGGCTGGAGGCCTGGCAGGAGCATCCTTCTGGGCTTCGATCTACCCAATTGACGTTGTGAAGAGTGTGATTCAGGTAGATGACTTCAAAAATCCAAAGTATTCGGGTTCTTTCGATGCTTTTAGAAAGATTCTGGCCTCAGAGGGTGTCAAAGGACTGTACAAGGGTTTCGGAACTGCAATGACCAGAAGTGTTCCTGCAAATGCCGCGTGCTTCTTGGCTTATGAAGTGACGAGATCGAGCTTGGGATGAATTGGGCCAAACATATTGTTTGCTTATGTGGGATTTCCTTTTGTATCCGTTGACTGGGGCCATCGCAGGATATTCTTCAGCAATTTGGTTGCAGAATCTCGATTCTTCAAAAATCTTGTAATTGTCGCTCAATTGATGATGACTAAGTAGTGGCATCTTTATGCAGCAATTGCAAGGTCTTCATTTCGTAACTCTAATGTTTTCCAAATGATTCTTCTGGCATCGCGGCCCGTCTTTTGTGTATCTCTTGGGGTGCTTGGACTCAGGTTGGCGATGTGGTGCTCTCTGGTTGGTATTATACTGGCCTTTAACTGTGCTGGCACGTCAACTGAAGTATCTATCTCGTTTTTCTTCCTAACTTTCACATCCATGAGGTAAAAAATTTTGACCGGACAGAGACACAGGAACATCCATCTAACTTATTAAGGCAGTAATACATTCGACCGACAATTTACACGCAAAATACAGAGGCGATGCTGTGCTTCCATTTATCACGACCGTCTACGTCCCGCTTTCATGGGGGCTTTTTTTTTTTCTGGTTCTTTTCAGTGAAGTCACAAACTAGCTAAATTTGAGAATTGCCTGTACTGACTTCCCTTTTGGCACCTTGAAAGTGAGCTCCACCTGCTCACAGTATCATTTTGACAGAATTTGAGCCCTGTTTTCTAGTAATCAATACAAGGTGATTCTGTTACAAAGTGAAAGGAAATGGTGATCAATTGACTCTGGAAGCATTCAAAGTCAACACTACTACCTCCAGCAAGTCATAGGTGCTTTATCGGATGCTGTGCCACGCGGGGAAACAAACAGCCGATTGACTAGTCAAGATAGACATTATAAACAAACAGCCGATTGACTCTCTAACTAATTCAGCTAAAACCTATATAAACAACACATCCTGATTAGAATCAGGCTCCTCAGAATTCAAAGCGGAAAAAGTTTTTAATCGGATTATTGGATATGGATTCTGCGAGGCCACCTCACTCTTGCATACCTCTTGTTTCAAGGCTGGATCATTTGGATTTTATCGTAAGTTCTGGCATCATCTGACTTATCCTAACACTGTGTTTCACTTTCATTCTCCCGTCTTTGTTTTTTTTACTTTGTTTCTCTAAACTTTGCTCTTCTAAAATGAGAGTTTTCTCTCATTTATCTCTCTCCTGGGGAATTGGATCATATATAGATGAAACGTTTAGAAAGCAAGCAAGATTTGGCGAAATGGGGGAGCATGAGAAGTACAGTTAGAGGAGAGGCGGGGGAGATTCTGCCATTGGATTTGGCAGTGAGGGAGGGTAACTCCACAGGGTCTCTGATAGACCGGGTGGCGACCCTTGAACAACGTCTTCTTCAGGTACTAGTTATACGAGGATTATAATAGTCATGGATATTATTGGACAATGCATAATGCGTTATGGAAATGGTAGAAATTATTCGTTGAAACTGTAAATGAAATGATCATTTCATTACAAAGTTCTACATTAACAATGTGCTTTACATATCCAAGAACCTGACAAGAAAAGTGATGATCGAGGGCTCGTTCTAATTTTTGGACAGACGCTCATGCCACGATCTCAAATGCAGTCTTTGCTTAATGCCTCTAAATATTTGTGCAACAAAAATGTATTTTTCAGCTATGCCTCGAAATGGATTCGAGCAGCAGCTCACGCACTTCTGGGGAAAAATCATCGAGCCAAGAATCCAAACGAGAATTAGTGTCGGGTCCATCATCCTCCACATTCTTTGGCATCTCCAACCGCAAAACAAGGAACCCGCCTCAACTTCATCAAAATTTGTCTGCAATCCAGGTAAATATCTCCTTGCACGTAATATCAAAGAGGGATTTTGGGCTGCTAGGCAAAATTATTCCTCCTTTATGTGAGTAATAATTCACATGTGATTGCAGGAAGAGGGGAAATCCGATACCGTTCCACAGCAGCAAAAGATTAAACACTCAGGTCCTGGCAAGCTCAAGCTTGGAAAGAGCAAGATTGCTAGCGATAACAAGAAGAGAACATCCAAGCTCGTCGGAAGAAAGGACAAGCCTCGCAATTGGCCACTACTGAGCTTGTTGGGCTGTTGATGCACCAATCATATGTTTCTTATTCATGTCATTCTCTGTTATTTTAACGAGCTTTTTCTCTAGGAAAGTGGATCCGCAGATTTTAACGTGCGTCAGTCTGCTAACTTTATGAATCAGAAGCTACTTCAACCTCCAGTGACTTATGACCTCAGCTCTGCAATTTTAGCTTATGTTGATCAATGAGCTACTCGACTTAGAACAATAAGAAAATGGAACGTGATCGATCACATAAAGACACTCAACTTCTGTTTTGTTTTCATGTATTTTCAAATGCCCTTTCCTTAGGGAAAGACGCACTCAACCTATGCCATGACAGATCAAAATACGTGCCTACTTGTTACTTTTGTTCTTGCCTTAATCAAGAAAAGGAAGTGGAACAGAATCAAGAACACACCCAAAGAGGAGACGAAGAAGATAATGTAAAGAAACATAGAATAGGGACAAGAAGTCATGGACATGGCGGCTGATGATCAAATGCTTTTATTGTGATGTTTTCATTGAATTTTTTCAGATGGGGAAAAAGAAAAGGTTTGGTGTTGATTGGTTTGTTGTGTCTGCGTGATGCCTGTGATGAGGTTGCTGGAGTGGCCAACCAAAGAAGGTGGATAGGAACACCATACTTAGTTTATCCAGAGAATATAAATCATGAGGTTTAGCATGATTCAGTACCAAAAAAGCATACAAAAACAAATGGTTCTCTTAGTTTAGCAGCTGTGGAATGATATGGACTCTTCCGACTTTCTTGTTAACAAACCCTACACACACACACACTCTCTCTCTCTCTCTCTCTCCAAACGCATGTACACTTATTGCAGTAGGTGTTTCTTGCAAGAGACTACTGGTTTAGATTATTATATCAATCCAATTCAGACACAGAATATACGGGAGAATGCACAGGATTAATTCCATTAATGATCTATTAATGTTTTTGACATCCATGGTTTATACATATACTTTGGCCATGTCGAGGATTGCACCTTCGGATATTAGGCGCTTCGGTCGAACAATATCGGTCGAACAATCAAAATTCCAATAATCGTTGAAAGCAGGGCGATGAGAACCTGATGAAACCCTTAACATCCTTTTATGTGGTGAATTGAACTGTGGAAGAATTAAATCCCTCTTATGGCACATTGTCTTTCTGGGCGTCGTGCTTTCGTCCGATTGATTTGCGATGATTTGATTGTCAGATTTTTCTAAGCATCCATCTTTCGCATTAATAATTTGACAAATATTTATATTAATCCAGTAAAATCAAGAAAACTCTCAATCAAAATTAGGGCTTAGCTTGTGAGGCACAACCCACCCTAGATGGGACTTCAATCCAGCTACCATGCTATCAATTAGCTTTTCCCTTATTATATCGGGTACGCACATGTTTTTACACAGCTAATCTTCGTATATACCGACCCTTTCACGTACCATCCGAATATACATTTTCTTCGGTGCCAATACCAAAGCAAACTCGCATCATACATTTTTTTTGCAGTCGCGACATGTTAACCCAGCATCGAAAGTGCCTTTTACATGATACCAAAATTACCCCCTTATAGATTAACATTATGATAAGATGCTCCAAGATTAGGAAAATGTCCCCAAAAACTTTCCCAATCAAGACCAAAAAAATTAAATAAACCCTCCCCCAAAAAACTTACGAACCTATACCTCTTTAATAGGCCTAATTCCCTAAAAAAAACCCCAACTTTAAGTCAACTCCCAAATCTTCCCCGAACTTTTTTTTGTCTAAAAAAAAACCCCAAACTTTAAGTCCAGTCCCAAATCTGCCCCGAGTTTTGTATTAAACAAAAAAAATCACCAAAATTCAATTTATTTTCAAAAATATACCCTGTGATTCAGTCTCAACTTGGCATGGCATTTCCACGTCCATAGCAAATCCACATCAACAAAGTAACGGGGCTTTCTTAGGACAAAGAAAAGTTTGGAGCAAATTTAGACGGAGCCTAAAAATTAGGTTTTTTTTTAAATTAAAAAAAATTGGGATGGATTTGTTATCGTCCCTAACTTTCATGTCCTTGAATAGTTTTATTTTGGAGAATTTCAACAACTTTTATTAGGTTGGATTCGTTATTGAAATGGAAATGCGACGTCGGTCTATACCTATCGTCTCATTACTTTGCTGGTGTGGATTTGTTATCGACGTGGAAGTACCAAGTCAAGTTGGGACTGGATCACGGGGATATATTTTTGAAAATAAATTGAAATTTTGCTGATTTTTTTTTACACAAAACAAAATTCGGGGCAGATTTGAGACTGAATTTAAAGTCTGAAGTTTTTTCTAAGACAAAAATAAGTTTGGAGTAAATTCGGGACTAAACCTAAAGTTTGAAGTTTTTTCCGAGATAAAAAAAAAGTTCGAGGTAAATTTGGGACATGTCCTAAAGTTGAGATTTTTTTTTAGTGAATTCACCCCCCCTTTAATAATACAGAAATGCCCCTTATAAAATCGACCGAAATTGCAGCTCCTATTTCCTCACACCTCCTTTCTAAAACAAGTAAGACTCTCTCTCTCTGTCTCTCTCTCTCTGCATCACCTTCCATCACTCACTCCCATGGAGGGGAGTCAAAGATCCGAGTCCGCTCAAGAACCCGACAACCCGTCGCCGCCGGTCACCGCCCACCACCTGGCTGCCCCGCCGGGGCTGACCCCCGGCGAGTTCGCCGAGCTCGCCCCCTCCGTCGCGGAGCACCACACCTACGAGCTCGGCCCGGGGAGGTGCTCCTCCCTCCTGGCGCAGCGCGTGCGGGCCCCACGCGCCGTCGTCTGGTCCATCGTGCGCCGCTTCGACAGGCCCCAGGTGTACAAGCACTTCATCAAGAGCTGCTCCGTGGGGCCCGGGTTCGAGGTCGCCGTGGGGGCCACGCGCTACGTCGACGTCATCTCCGGCCTCCCGGCGTCCACCAGCGAGGAGCGGCTGGACGTGCTGGACGACGGCCGGTTCGTCACCGGGTTCACCATCATCGGCGGGGAGCACCGGCTGAGGAACTACCGGTCGGTGACGACGCTGCACGAGGTGGCGCGTGAGGGCGGGATTTGGACCGCCGTCCTGGAGTCGTACGTCGTGGACGTGCCGGAGGGGAACACCGAGGAGGACACCCGCCTCTTCGCCGACACCGTGGTGAAGCTGAACCTGCAGAAGCTGGCCTCCGTCGCTGAAGGGCTGGTGGCTCGCGAGGGTGAGGGCCGATAGCAGTCTTCTCCCTACTCCAAAGTTTCCATTTTGATTCCCTCTTTTACGAATCCGAAGGGGTTCTTGATTTGTGAATTATCTGCAGAAAGAAAGAAAGAAAAAGAACTGTTCTTTTTTGGGGTACTGTTTGGAAAAGTTAATGGGATTTTCATGAGAATTTGGGAAAATGCGGAGGGAATTCAATGCTTGATTTGCTGCTGATTTTCTAATTGAGGAAATGTTATGGCCTCTGGAATATATGCGGTTGAGTTCTGACCAGTGACTGCACTCGGTGGAATCATTGCATCATGTCTGCCCTGCCGTTGTGTGTATGTCCACTTGAAGATCTTGTTCCTTGCTTCTTGCCTTTCCTGTTCTCTTGCCAATAATAGCTGGTGCTGTTCCATGTTTCCTCTTCCTTTTTGCCACCTCGATTTCAATCTGGTAAACGCAAAAAAAGAAGAGAAAAAGAGGAAAATAGGGGAACTAAAATTGCAGGCGCTGTCGTTTTCTCCATTAAAATTTGCCCGAAAAGAAGGTAACTTTAGTTCGTTTTTCCATCTATGATAAGGCTACGTAATTCTGTGGGATGTTGCAGTTGTACTGAGTAGATACTAGGGTCTGTGCAATTTGTTTGTGGGAATGAGCTGAAGAGATACCGAAGGAGTGAATGCAGGTGTGAAACATGAGACCGAGAAACATGGATTCGGAATAGTTCTTTCCAGTGAACTGTCCTTTCCATAAACAACATGCAACTTTCGAGTTAGATCCTAGTCCTTAAACCCTTTTCTCGGCTCCATTTCGAGCATATTGCTGAGTACCCGCATCTCTCGTTTACGACATTAGCGACTACCCTCGATATCATTCACTTTTCTCGGCTAATTATCGCCTCCCGTTTCCCATTTCTCATGCTCTACCTCTCTCTCTCCGCGGGGAGGGGATCGGGTAGACTAACCTCATCATCACCGCCGGCTCTGATGAAAGTTTCTGCAGAATTTCAATTCCCATTTGACAAAGGGACCTCCAGGATCACAAGGAGCCAAACCGAGCACGGTTGACCTACTTTTTTCCATGGCATTAACCACCAAGGGAGAAAGGGGGAAAGGGATGATGTCTCCCAACTTATCTGGAAACATCAGGGCTAACCAAGGAGAACAATGGAGCACCACCCAGCTGGTCACAATGATTGATGCCTTGCCATTCTGGTTTTGTTAATAAGTACGGTCAATGCCATGATTTTGGATGCTCTGAGATGGGTGTGGATTTTTCTCCTCCTTTTTTCGTAATTTTTTTTTTGGTGGGCCATTCCATTTTCGTCACGAAATTATTTTATGGGCCATAAAGAATATTGGGTCGTAATAAAAATTGGATTTTTTTTAATATAGATGGCTGACAATTATTGGCCACTAACATGGTAAGTAGGGTCAACATCGCCACGTTAGGTCCGGCGAGAATTTAACGTATATATATTGGGTTCGAGCTTTGCGTGGTCGAGAGAGGTCGGCGATTTTGTGTTCGGTGCCACCCGATCGCAAGAAAAGATAGGGAATTGGTAGATTGCGCGAGCGCCATGTCAATATTCCGTTTTCTTAAATCTTTATTTTCGATAGTTCTACGCGATGGAGTCCGAGTCTTTTCGAGCGTCCGATTGATTCCTGGAGGACCCGGTGGATAATGCGAATCGGGTAATTAATGACCTGCACACCATTACCGTTTTTGAGATAGCGATATGCATGAGACGGTGAATTGAGCCTAAGCTTAGAAGTCAAACGAAGTTTGAGGAGGAGGGCCCTCTTTTTTCTGTTTAGAGTTGAAATATCTATGAAACTCGAGTTCTTATGGGATTTGATGGAACGAGAACGGACAGATGGAGATTAGGCACGCTTCATGGTGAAAGGAGAGGGTGGCAAGCATCAGTATCGAACGCGGGCTAGTGACGCAGGATCCTATTTCGACCAAGAAAAAAAAAAGTCGGATCCTCGAATCGGGCAGGCAGACCCGAATCCTCGGATCGGGTGGAGGGTATTCGAGGATCGAGACCCGATTGATTCTTCTCTTTTTTCTTTAATTCCTTAATTTATTACTTACTCGAAGGTTCCAGATTTTTTTCTTTTTAATACCAATTAAGAGTTGCTGCTGTGGGAGGAGTCAAGTTAGAACTAACGAATAATCCAATCCCCTGGCTCTCTCTCTCTCCCTGTGTTAGAGAGAGAATATGCACTTGGGTCCGTGGGATTGGACGGCGGCGATGGACGCAGGGAAGAATCAGGGCCGTCGAAAGGGAGCCTTTTGTTGACCACCGCGAATGGAAAGCACCAATCGCGTGGCCCTAAGCAAAAGGCGTCCTGTTTTTGGCCGTCTTCTTCTTTAAGGCGCAAGTTGCCCACTTGCTCATTCATTAAAGCCAGACAAATTCAACACCCCTAGAGAAAGAGAGAGAGAGAGAGAGAGAGAGAGAGATTCTTTGCCCTATCCTAATGCGTTGGCCCTTCTCTTTCCTAGCTACTTTCAATCATTCAAATTTCAAAGAGATCAATTTAGAGAGAGAGAGAGAGAGGCTACAAACAATGAACATGAGAAAGAAGAGAGAGGCCTTAAGCCAATGAGAGAGGAAGATTGGCTTTTGGACATGGAGCGTAGCCCTGTGATTGAAATCTCATCCGCTGCACGTAAATTCGAGGATTGCGTACGTTCATGGAATTAGTCAAGTCACATGGACATAAATGTCTCGTGCCATAAAGGAGGAGTATATATTAGAGCCATTGACCCGGAAAGCCTATATATTGAAGAGATATTATTTGCCCGGAAGAAGAAGAAGAACGATGCTAGATGCAGAAACATTCGATAAAACTCATTGCTACTCGACATATCTAAATCGCAACAGCTCGAAATGGATCTTGGGGTGCGTTTGGCAACACTTTGAATCCATGAAGCCCTTTCACAAAATGCAATTCTGTTTAATGAAGTAATTTGAAAACCCATTTGGTAAATGCAATACATTTCCAAAAGCACTTTTCTCATAGTAAAAGTAGAGTGGCTTTGGCTTTCTAGCATTTTCAGATTACTGAAACTCCGAGTTAATGAATCTTTTTATTCCAATCTTGCCCTTGCTAATGTTTTCGTATTCCTTTTTATTTCCTAAATGAAATCACTATTCATCGTCTCTCTACAAAGCCAAGGGTCGCCAACGTCCATCGTCGCTCGAAGCTTTACCAAGGGTCATCGACTGTCGCATGAGGTTGGACAAGGTCAACGCTAGCTTGGTCGCGCTACGAGGGTCGCACATCAACGCTAGCTTGGTCGCGTGACCTTAGCGATCCACTGCTCGAGCTCGCCTCTATTCCAGATCTACTTCGTCGTTGTTCCCAGACGTGGCTTGTCTATCGAGGCTCGCTTTATCACACATTGACACTCGCCAAGGTCAACGCTTGGCTGTTCCAGATCTGCCTCACTGCTATTCCCAAGCTCACCTGTCAAGGCTCACCTAGTTGCATGACAAGGGTCGTGTCGACACTCTCCAAGGTCGAGGCTCACCTAGTCACGCAACCTCAGCAGCCCATCGCCTGAGCTCGCCTCTGCTTCTTCATTGTTCCCAAATGTGGCTTGTCTAAGGTTGCACAACCTCAACATCGCCCTGCTTGGGATCACGCTACTTCGGCGACAAGAGTCGCCTAAGTGTTTAGGCTTTGCCCAAGCTGCCGAGGTTGCCAGAGACATTTTTTTTCTAAACTATAGTGCTTTGCAAGTGGTGTCTTTTCGAAACGTATTTAAACGAAAGTTGTTTTTGAATACACTTTTCACTTACAGTTTATCAAATACTATTTGCATTTCGTGAAAACCCTTTGGTCTAAACTCCTTTATTTTTGGGAAAATTGCATTTATGCAAATATTTTTCCCAAATGCTCTCCCAAATGCACACTTAAACCGATATAATTCAAGCATAAGGTGGATACTAAATTGCTCAGAGACGCGTAGAGGAATCTATTGCCCTGATTAGAAAAACAATTTCTATTCGAAACTAAAGATTAGCATCATTTCCCAGAGTTGACATGGATGCGACTACCATGTTGGTGCTGATTCCACTCATCCCCCAATTTGTTTAGCCAAGAAAAGGGCGAGGGGAGGCCAGACGAATCGAAGATGATTCTTTTTGGGCATCAGCGTGGGAGATCCTATCTATGTCTCCACCAACAATAAGATGGTCCTAGCCCATGTTGAGGAGATTTAATTGCCAATTTTCCATACTATGCAGGGTCCTCATTTTCTTTGTCAATTGATGAAGAAAGTCTATTTTCTGTTTTGCCTACCCAGGCTTTGCCAAAATCATTCATTGTCACTCGTTGACAATTTGAGGCCTGTCCTACAAGCCTTCATAGACATACTGATGGTCACCATGCTATGTAGCACCGTAGCGGTGCAAAAGCTAATGCAAACTCGTGCCTTTAGCTACACCAACCGGTTTATGATACTATTAACTTGAATGGCGCTTCTAAGTTCTCACATATTGTTTCCGGGATTTCGTTCGTCTCTTCGAAGATGTGTAAAATTGGAAAGCTGACTCCGATCCAAACCAAGGGCTTTTGCAATGCCGTTCGAATATCGTTCCATGTGTAAAAGTGCAAAGCTAGAAAGAAGTATGACATAAAAGATAAGTGGGATATGAATTGGTACGTGAGAAGTACCGAATGTACAACGAACGAATAAAAAGAAGATGGATTATCGGAACCAAATTTTAGGGAAAAAAACAAGTATGGACATTAGAGAAAATCTTCGGACATTATCTCCTGTTCTTGCTCTTCCCATCTCTCATCTTTCTCAAATCCTCGAAGCTCCAATCCCTCCTCATCCCGCTACTCCGCACCAGCCTCGCCTCCCCCGAGCCCGCCATCGGCTTCTTGCGAAAGGAGGAGGCCGCAGTGCCCCACAGCCGGCGGTGGCCCTTTTTCGCCTTCTTCATGTGAAGCCCAAGAGGCCCACTTCTAGATATGTGCTCATAGGATGGTGCGGCCGAAGGGCCTGACCAGTTCCTATCTACAATGACACAACGCAAATTGTGAGGCCCTTCTTCTTCATCAATACAGCCATAGTCCAAGTCTAAATCTTCCCTTCTCTGCGCTTGGCATGTAAGGCAATTGAGACTCATGGCTAGTGAATTTCCCTTTTCCCCTTTTCAAAAAGCTTGCAAATTGCCCTTCAAGGACTAGTGATGATAGGGAGGTGTAAGAAAGAGGAACGAGGATTGGGAACGCATGGTGATGTTGAGAGTTTATAAAGGGATTCAGAGAAGAGATGAGTACATGGTGGTGGTGGAGACGGTGATGGTGGTGATGATGGAGGAAATTCCGCAGATGGTTAAAAGAAGCAAAAGCTAGCTCGGTTTTGGCTGGAAATTTTACGTAACGACCAAGTGTTGTTACGTGAACGGGGGAAGAGAGGTCAAATGAGGTTTTGACAGCTGAAAACAGTTCTTTGGTAAAAAATTGCAAGGTCTAATTATGGAGTTGGAAGTCAAAGTTGCCACTCTGGATTGGAACTGCATGAGGTGGCCATGCAACAAATAGAATCCTCTGATTACTGAAGGTTTGACCATTTAAACTTCTAATTTCTTTTTGTTTTAGTGGAATACTGGTTGTGAAGAAATTTTTGAAGACCCGAATTTTAGTTTGCTTTCTGGATGCATTCCCTCGAGACAAGGTTAAGGGAGATAGAAAGATCGAGTTGTTAAATATTGCTGGTCAACAGAGAGACATGTAATTATCAAACTGAAATTATCCGGGAAACAATTCAGCATATGGAAATGGTGAGGCAGGCTGAAAATGCATTCTCTGTACATGAAGGAATTAAAGATGGTAAGAGTAACACAAAGTAAACGACATAAGAACAGTTTTAGCAGTAAACATTTGGATACTCCACTTTCTGCAAGTTTGTCGAGAACTTGATTAAGCTTGATGAAATATCTAAACGAAAATGATCGAATCATTGCATATAAAGTGCCCATATGGGCCCATCGAGACAAGGCTTTCTTAGAGCATGTGTGAATGTCTAAGCATATATAATATATATTCGGTAGACTGTCTTCTTCTGACCAAAAATTACTTTTCTTTTAGCATTTCTCGTTTGTCAGAGATGTCATATGCATGACCCGCATGCCAAGAGGGAATCGGAATGAAACATGACAGGACAAAGATGAATGATCTGCGCAAAGCATATGTTTAGTAGTTCTTGGATTGTTTTAGTTCTTTCGAAGATTGTTGTCCTTTATGACGTATCAGTTGCTGATCTTCTTGCTATGAAGCTTTTTCAATCCTTTCTTATAGTCCGCATATCATCAGGAGACGCTCCAAAGGAAACAGTTTCTGTGAGTAATTGAGTGTTGCCGTGAGTCATACAAACATGTTCATATTACTGGGCTGATCTGCCATTAGTGATAACAGTGCATAAGGCAACAGAAGAAGAAAGAAAGAAATCGGAAAAGCAGTATCAAAGTTACAAACTTTATTCTCCTGTGATTCGAAATGGATGGACAAAGGGCAAAAGAAAGAACAGGAACTCGGATCGACGAATTGTTTAATCGGAGAATTACCGCCCCTAATGTTCTGCTTAGCTTTGTCTAGAAGAATCATGATTTATATGCATGAATCTCTGTAACTTTACCAAGAATATATTGTAACCCAATAAAGTTGAGGATCAATCAAGTGACAGCATCGTTTACCTTCTTGCAAAAATGATTCCCGCGGAACATTGCACCTATCCCCCATTGCTCTCCCCTCCCCTCCCCTCCCCTCCATCCTTTTCTTTTCATATTAAATTACCATTAAAAAGTCTACTTGATTTTGCAGGAAAGTTTTGCAGATCATTCACCTCCCCCTCGGGCAACGGATGCTATTTTTCTCGAGATTCTTCGCAATTGTCCTAGTTTTTTTTTTTTTTTGGCCCCAGATTTTCTTCTCTTTCCCTTTGATGTTCTGAAACCATATATCTCTGACACTCCTCCAAACAAGTTTCTGACGAAGTTTTTATAGGACCTACAAGCTTGAGAAGTCAAAGGATGAAAGATAAGACACCTACAAGCATAAATAAGTTCAACTCCCTCCCCCGGCCTATAAGACTGCATGTGAAAGTAAAATCAAAATAATCTTTGAACCAAAGAAAAGAAAAAGGAAAGAAAGAAAGAAAGGCACGGATCAGCTGATACCACTTTTATGCAAGTGGAAGGTGTATTTTAGCTCAAGCATGAATCATGCAAAAAGGAGAAACTGATAAAGAAAGCACTGCCACTTACCCACTCTTCTTTTGGACTTTTTAGTGATGAACCTTTTTGGTGGGTTTTTGTTTTCTTTTTTTTCCCTCTCGAGCTGAAGCGACTGGCTCTTGAGTGGCCCCATTTGAGTGGGAGGCATTTTACACGTTTCTATTTCTTCAATTTTATCATCATGAGTGTATGTGTGTGTGTGGGGGTCACCGCTCAAAGCCTGGATGTTTCTGGACAGAAGAAACATCTCCGTCCAGAATTATTCAAAGATATTCAAGATTTCATTTTCAAGACACGAGTGTCCTGGGTCATGCCTCCTCTCACTGTCGAATGACTCATAATTGTTTCCCAAAACAATCCACACATGTTTGAGTGACCGAGACCTGAACAAAAAATGAGGGGCGAGGCTAAGCAGAACCGTGACACTTGCAAAGCAAAGAAGAGCGTTCTGCTTCACTCTCTGCCATTACCATAAAAAAGCTCGTGGCAGGAATTCTTCCCTCATTGCGGCCAAAGCTGAGAGAGCAAATCTGATGCAAATGAAGGAAACGAATACAGTATATTTGCAACAGAAGAACAAGGTTTTGTGGAAAACCAGAACACACCGCGGGAAAGCCTCGTTGCGTTATCAGATTTGAATATCGAACATCTATATACATAGAAAGATGAGGTAGACAATCGACCCGACGACAAAATGCTACTAACTCGTTCAGCAGCTATTTTATCTTCAACAACAATTACCATATCTCTCAGTGCTCCACAATCCAAAGTACCTAATAGGAAACACTAGCAGGCTACGCTAGGAACTACAAGAGGAACAAACAACCTATTGGCAGCTTTTGCTTCAGAACTTGCCATGCCGGGAGCCTCAAAATATCCCGGCCCCTGATTATTTGCGTCGATAATTCAAACATCGACAAGCTCCTTAATACTGCTTAACTATCATTACTCCCTCTGCTTCTAACGGGCTTATCCTATTTTGGACGACAACGCCACCCTTAGCTGTTCCTGTGTGTAAAACCGACTACCCATCTTCACGGTCGCCTGTTGGATCATCAAGTCGTTCACCACGGAGACGCTGGCGTGATGCACGTCAAGATCCAACTCCATTAGGGCTTGCATTAGCTTCGCAGCGGGGTGGTTCTTCTTGCTGCTTTGAATCCGTATCATCACATCCCATCCGATTATCTTCACGTCCACGTCCAATTCTATCAACTTGGCACCGTGATTGTTCGAGATACTGACATCTTTATCGCTCTGGGGCGGAGCAGACCGAGAATCTTTATTCGTTAATTCCTTCTTCAAGGCTTCCAGTTGCTTCTGCAGATTCTCTTTGTCAGATTCCGAGGTCTGGAGCTTCAAGTTCAGCTCCTTGATGTACGAAATGGCGTCGCCAAGAAGTGACGCTTTGTCCATCTTGGAAACGTTAGGAACCACGGCCCGGAGCGCGTAAAACCGCTGGTTGAGCTTCTCCCTCCTCTGCCTCTCGGCCTCAACATGATTCAATGGCTCCTCTCTGCCATTGGCAGGTTTCCTACCTCGCTTTCTCGGCCTTTTCTCCGGCTCAATGACTCTGCCACTATCAGCTTCCTTCACAACGGAGGCTTCGAGATCTGAATGATCAGAATCCCCCGCGCCTCCGCTCGATTTCACCATCCCCGAGGACGGCAAAATCACACCCGAAGTGAACGAGAGCATCCCTTCTTCGTTGCTTCCACGCGAAGTAGGCGACGTCCTCTTCTTACTTTCTTCCGCGGCCGTCAGCTGCGACTGACCAGAATACAGATTCCCATTTCCGTTGGAAGAAACCCTCTTGCTCTCCCCAAAACTCAAGATTTCGCCGGATTCCGGCTTCATGGGATGTGAATTCCCGTTCCGTGCACTGCCGCCATCGTACCCAAACTCCGAGAAGTTCAACTCGCGGCCGAAAAAGCTCTGGCCCTGCATCGGCTGATTGTTCTGCTGGTAATTGTGGCGGGGATTGTCCCGATGGATCGCGCTCGGTTTCTCGCTCACGCTACTCAAAACATGATTATTCTCGAATTGAATCGATTTAGACCCCTGATTACTACCATTATAATTCGAAGAACCTGCCACCGCAGCCGCCCCGGCGACGGCGGCGCTGTCCTTGACCTCGACCGTGCCCGGTGGATCATTGATCCAGAGGGAAGAAGGGTCGCTCTCGCCCTGATCGTTACCATTTCCACCAAACCCTAACTCCATCCCACCATTGAAATTAAACAAATTCCTGACCTTGTTCATCAGATCTGAGCTCTGGTAGATCAACTCCGTGGAGCCCAATTCGACCACCCCGCCGATCACGGGCACGCAGACCATGGTCTGCAGCCCGAAAATCCGGCCCTGCTTCGCCCTCTCACAGCCGCAGTCGGAAAGGCGGTCCCGGCCGGACACCCAAATCGGGCTCGAATTGAACAGGGCCTGGCCGGGCAAGCTGCCGTCATTGCCAAAGGACTGCGTCATGGAGACGAGGAAGAACCACTCCGTGTCGGTGACCTCCTCGTCGACGGCCTCGTCGGGGGCGGCGGCGGAGGTCCCGGCGATGAGCGAGTTGAGCTCCCGGAGCACGCGCTTCCGGTGCTCCTGCTCGGCGGCGGAGGAGGCGCTGATCTTGGCCTTGCCCTTGGACTTGTCCTCCTCCCCCTTGTAGTACCCGTCGCCCCAGCCGAGGACGGGGGCCGGCGGCGACGCCGACGCCGACGCCGACGCGGCGGGGTAGCCGCCGTCGAGGGAGGACTGCCAGAAGATGGCGTAGGTCCAGGGGTAGCGGGAGGTGGAATCGATGAGGGTCTGGAGGCGGTGCTGGAGGGTGTCCTGGTTGAACGGGGCGGGGGCGGCGGCGGGGAGGGCGGCGGCGGCGGCGGAGGAGGCGGCGGAGGAGGAGGGCTGCTGGGTGAGCGACGGGGGAGGTGGGAGCGGGGGAGGGGGTGGCCAGAAGGAGGAGAGGTCGGAGGACATGAAGGCCTCCATCATGGAGGCGTTGTCGTCGGTCCACAGGTTCATGCTCGCCGTCAACCGGTAGTCGGTCATTCCATAGACAGGCTCTCCCTCTCTCTCTCTCTCCCTGCAACAGCCAGAAATAGAGATTGAGATAGAGATAAAGAGAGAGAGTAAGGTTGCAGTTGGAGCTGAGCTGGAGATGGAGGTGGAGATGGAGGTTGAAGAAGATGGAGAGGAGAGAGAAAGAAGAGAGAGAGGGAGGGAGGGAGGGAGGGAGGAGGGGACAGTGGACACGAGGTGGAGGACGAGGTTAGTTGAGTTTCGCAGGATTGGTCGCCGATTAAATCGGGCAGCAACGAAAGCCGGCGTTTTGTGTTTGCCCTCGCTCGTTACAGTAGCGGCGGGGCTGGAGTAACTTCTTCTCAATTTTTTTCCTCCTCCTCCTCTCTTTTTTTTTAAAAATTATTTTATTTATCCATTTCCTTTTTTGTCGTATTCCTCCTCTTCTCCTTTTTTAAAATTATTTTTTTAATTTATTTCCCCTTTTTGTCGTATCGTTTTTTTGTAAAGATAAAAAAGAAAATATCTCTCGGCCCCCCTCTGGCCACTCGGCACAACAAATATCTGGCGGCGAATCGTGGCGGCCATAATTTCGTGGGGAACATTTCTTCTTGATTATCGTAAATATATCGATAAAGGGAGTTTCTCGTCTAATGAGAGATGGGACCATTTGTTCTATTAATGGAAATTTCGCAATCGTAGCAAAATTCATGGACCATTAATTCTTGCATTAGTATACGAAACATAACAGCTCGAGCTATTAAAGCAGCTCTTAAGCATGTTTTTACCCCGTTAATTTGTACGGAGCAAAGACGGAATCCGACTTCGTCTTTTCAATTTTAAACATCCGATACTTTCACAATATACATAATAAGCGTTGTCGCATCATCCGTGTATAATTTTTTTTATGAGAGAAAAAAAAAAGCCTTCAGAACTTGAACAGTATGCCTAAAATGTTATTCGGGATTTCGAAGTGCATTAATCTATTTATATGTAAGCAAATGTGTAAGTATGATAATGTAATTCTGAACGTGGAGTAATGGTCAACTACAAACTCGTATCGTTACGGACGCTCGGCCCAACGAAATCCATGTTAACCGGAGACAATCTTCGAGGCGGTTGTCCATACCTCAACTCGGTGAATTACTAAATCAGCACTGGCCCGAGAATGAAAAGAAAAATCAATACGGCGTCTGTTGTTTTTTATACCCCGGCGGTAATGCGAAAAAATCGGCGGCACGGTCCAAATAATCGCGAGTCAGCTTGACTCAAGTTGAGCGCTTTTCCAGTTAACTCTGGTTTGATGATTCCTATAAAAAAAAAAATTCGGATAAGGACAATAACAGCACGAGAATATATACCGAATTAATAATTAATCTCGATTAGATAATGAAATGAGAAAGTGCGTGGGGACGAATGCAAAAGGTTAGGGGACGAGTAGGCGTCAAGAGGGACCGTTCAAATCCCGACAGGGTCATCCGCTCATCCACCTTCGTTCGATTCCCGCGACGTTTAATTAAATAATTAGTTAACTAATTAATTAATTTAAACGCTAAGCAAGTTGGCTCTTGGGGAGGGGGGGCTATCATCTAATTTTTTTTTTATATTTAGGGAAAATAAAATAAGTAATTATAACGGAGCACGTTTTGCTCGATGCGCGTGGGTGCAAACAATCGTTTTTTTTGTCTTTTTCTTTCCTTTTTTTTTTGTCCTTTTCCTTTTGAAGTTACTGTTATTGTGGGGGCACGTGGACGAAACCGCTTTCCCACGTGACCAAAGACTCCCCCAACCACCGGTGCCACCACCTCATATTTCATAACGATTTATCCGGTTTTTGTCCCGTTCTGTTTTCCACGTCGGACGACAACGTTGTTTGCTGTCGTGCCCTTGGACTTTTCTAATTTCCTACTTTCGGGCACCCGTCGATGATTTTCTTCCAAAAGAGTACGGCACGACGGCCACAAGCTTATGCAGTAGCCGAATTTCGTGTTGTCCACAATGAAATATTTTCTGATTAGCTAATTATTTCGAGGCGATCATTTTTAGTAAGGTTAATATCACGAAAAACTCTACATCGGCACACCTGTGACAAATTTACTCCAAATTAATTTTTCGACCACCAAAAAACCGTAAATCTGTACACCCGTGATAAATTTACCTTCCGTTAAATTTTTTGAGTTAAATGACACGTGGCAATTGACGGGTGTATCCGTTTGGGGTTTTACCAATTCGTTTGTCACAGGTATAACAGTTTGTGATTTTTCGCAGTATTAATTTAATTTAACGGAGGATAAATTTATCACAGATAAACAAATTTTGGATTTTTTGTGGTCAAAAAACTAATTTAGAGTAAATTTGTCATATGTGTATCGATTTTGGATTTTTTACGGTATTAACCATTATCAGTGTAATGTTTTCCAAATCATTCATCTCTCTGCGAAACAAGCAGAGCCTTAGCGAAGGATGTACTGCATCCAAAATATGCAGATAAGCTAAGCGATGACCGACCGAATCGCAACCCGGCAATAAAAAGAGTTTAATCAATTAGAAAAAAAAAAGCTTTTACAAAAAAATTTCCAGCACACGCTCTATGTAATTTGTGGCGTACCAAGTTGGATTATTTAAGAGAGGAGGAACGCTTAATTAAGTTATGCTTGTTATCCGTGGAGAATTTATTAAGAGGAAATCGTAATGGAATTGCTAACCACGATTATGTTAATTTCAAGAGGAAGGGTTGCGTGGCGCCGTCACCGTAAGCAAAACAAAAGATCAACACAATCCAATTCCACGTGAACGATAATAAAAAAATTTGCAAGTCATAATTAGTCTTTCGAAATATCAAATCTTTATTAATAATTCTCACGAATATTATTGCTTTTTTTTTACCCAACCACATCGTTAAACTATTCCATCTGAACTCTGAAACATTAAATTGGGAGACATTCCTTAGTACATTAAAATAAAGAACGCGAACCTGTCAGCTCGCTAGGTGTATACAATCGGATAGCGCGGGGCGATCCCAGTCGGATCTTTGTGAGGTACTCTCGGTAATCACCACCGATGATCCAAAGCAGATCCCTGATTACCTAGGGTCGAGTATCCATCCACTCCCAACGGTGCTAATTGCAAGTGAAATGGACCGGGTTGAATCTGCTTTGGTGGACCCTAATCGGATAGCGCGGGGCGATCCCAGTCGGATGTTTATGAGGTACTCTCGGTAATCACTACCGATGATCCAAAGCAGATCCCTGATTACCTAGGGTCGGGTATCCATCCTCTCCCAACGGTGGTAATTGCAGATGAAATGGACCGGGTTGAATCTGCTTCGGTGGACCCTAATCATGATGATCATCGTGCTTTTCCCTTTGCTTAGAAGATGGAAAGGCAGGGTTTCGAGGCATAGTGACAAGATCTATATGATTACCACTTCTATCACGCCTGAACTGACGGTCGAGGGCCATCGTGTAATGAATACACAACATATTATCAATCGTGTAAGCTTTTAAAAGTCGAGAAATTTTTGTTAGGTCCACTGGTAACGTAAAGGATTTTCGACACGCGGTGCTCGTCCGGTGATGAATGTGTAAAAAAAATTTTATGCAAAGACAAGATGCAAAAGAGATAGTGCAATTCCATGAGTTTTAAACCTATAAATTTTTCTTCCCTTGAAAAGGGTTGGGATGAATTGTTCGTATTAATGCGCTATCGAAGCACTTACTATCTACTGAGCAAGCCCGTCACCGCAACCCACCAGATTCGAGATGAGAATCCCGAATATGGCGATACACCTAAGCGGAGACTCGTCCTTGGCAGATTAACCGAGGTTTCCTGAGACTGAGGATAACCTAGGAAATCGAACCTATGACTAATTTCGGCTTGCAATTCAAGTCTTAAACTACTCGGCCAACCACCTTGTTGGTCCATGATCCTATCACTTACAAGACGAACTTTAATAAATAAGAAAAAAGAACAACTTCGAGACAACAATTTCCTCGTAACGATCTTAAAGATAGTTATAAGAACTCTAGTAAATAAATAGCTTCCCAGATATTCCGGAACACATTGATTTTTCTTCTTCTTCTTCTCTTGCATGTGAACCGTGCGGGGATAGACGGTAGACATGAACGAGCTTTGTCATCCTCTTTGGGAAGTATACTTTTATCCCATCTCATTAGCGATTATGTATCAAATTCAATCTTTCGAATGTGCCATAAGGACGATAATTCCGCACGCCGTGCCCCGGATGCATCTGCGCTCTCCCGCCCCTAAATGAGGCGAACAAAGCCCGCCGTCAACGGATCTTGGCTCTGCCTCTTCTGCGTTCTCGACGGCCCATCTTTGTCTCGGTAGAGTCTTTTCGGCGGCATTGTTTCGGTCCCCTTTCCCATGGCTTAGAAAAAGCGAGCCCCACCAGGTCAAGAACAAAGATACTATCATTACCGCCCGGACGATTAGGCATCGGACCCGCAGCGGCAACTGCCCGGTTGCGGGAGCGGACCTCTACCAATCGGGCTATATCCTCCCGAGCGAACCGGGCGAAGCATGCACGGCGGAATCGGACGCTTCTTCTATTCCAATCCTGTCTCTTTTCCTCGGGTCGAGTTTTCCCCGACCTAAATCTCGGCTCGTGGTTTTCCTTTAGCGGGGGTCTTTTCAAGTGCAAAGTCAAAAGGAAAACTATGTACGCTCGTGAGTCGCATAGTTTTTTCAGTTCAAATGTCCGCCCCCCCTACCATCATTTGCTCTTCCCACCTTTCAAATGTGGAAAACAAGATGTCACGCTTTTATTCCATACATCGAACAACACACTAAAAACCAAAGCCCCGCCCCGCGTTAGGGCGGGCGGAACTTCAACATCGGCAGCTCGGAATTCGACTCTCGAGACCGCCACAAGCGACCCGTCGCATCATCGACGTCGCATCTCGGCATCCGTACGCCCGCCGCGACAATCGATTCCGTCCGGAATCCGCGTGCGCCGGCCCCGGCGTAAGAACCGGAAAGTACCCGGATGCTTCGTGAACGATCCCCGCTAGTCGAGCGGCGACGGTAAAACCGACGGCTTTAACGGCGGGGCGGAATCTCAACGTCGCGCAACGAACCCGCTCGATTAATTTTTTGTTTTGGTCTAAGTTGGCTAAGCAGATCCTTTCTAGAGGCAGAAATGGAGGGATCCATCCATTCTAGTCTCGATCGATCACCTAACTCCTACGATTTGTCGGGGGATTATCTATCTATATATAATTTGAGAAAGAACTTTGCGTAAAAACTCCAAAATGTGTTCTCTTTTTTGGACTTTTATATAATAATGATATATATTTTTTGATCGAATTTTTTTTATTTTATATTTGAGCGTTGACGAATATTCTACGAGCGAATCCGCCGTGGGGAAAATACGGAACTGCCCTCGTTTTTCCAGTTCCTCTCTCTTGGACCGACGATAAAAGATTCCCGAGCTGAGCTCGTTCCTACATCTCGTGGCCGGCGGGTCATATGATCTTATCCCGGCGACCGCCGCCGTGCCGGAGCGCTCCGGCATGGCGGCGGCCCACTGGGGAGGGCCCTCCCGGGTCTGTCCGTATTATAGGATCGCTCTAAATAAATAAATAAATAAATATATATGTGAGGACGAAAAAGAAGTGGGGACGGGGATGATTGCGGAAAATATAAACGTGCACGCATGTGGGAAGTGGGTCCTAATTTTGTAAATATATATTTTTTAGAAAGTAATAATAAATAATTAAAATAAATAGAAAATCGAAATCATGCTTTTTGGCTTGGTTTGATTTTCTTTCTAATTAAAAAAAATTGGCCACTTGATGGACGGCAGCTTGCACGTGATTCATGCCCTTCGACAAGCGTCCAGAATCCGGCGCGTCGGCGGTGACGTCACCCCGCGGCTGCAAGTTGCAACCGCGCAATCGCGCCGCCAGCCGCCACGCTGTTCCATTCCGCGGCTCCCGTGCCATCGCCCGCCATCTTCGACTCCGGCTCGTCCCCGGTCAAGTCCCGTCGCGGCGGATCGGCCCGTGACACGACGGTCGGGGCAAACTGATTTTCCACCGGTCGTTCGATCGGTGCCGACTTTGAACCGGCCATGTCGCGGGGTGGACCGGCCCCATGCATAGACAATGTGCCGGTCAAAGAGACGTGTGAAAATTGTCCATATCAGGCCCACTTGTCGAGGGCATTTCAAGAGTAATGAGTTATGATTAGCGCAATATTTTCTCTCTCTTTCAAATGAAATGAGATGACCCACCGAATCCGCGAGTTCAGCGACATCGACAGCGGGTGTAATCAGCGGCCCCGTAACATTTTCACGTGCAAAAGTCCCAAAATTGGGAAGGGTCCTAAATGAGCACGAATTAGAATAAGATTTCGAGATCTAAACCCGATATCGACACCATTGGAGGGGGGCAAGATCAACAAAGTAGCAAGGCATCGCTTTCTTGTACCGTGGTCCGATGACAATTTCTCCAAAGCATATCAATCCTGTATGTGTGGGGGGGGCAAAACGAGGGTCAAGACGAGTCGTGCGTGGCCAGAGTGAGGGAGGACGGCAGGGACTCGATTCTCCGAAGGAGGGGCGAAAGACGGGCAGCCCCGGCGCCCCCCCGGGTGGGGCCAGGGGCGCAACCGGAGCACCACGTGATTGTCGAGGCGCGCTTCGGTAGGTACAAAAATCGAGTCAGCGGGACGCGAAATGCATTGAATCCGTCCCCCATTTAGAGGCACTCGAGTCGGAAATGTGGTCCACGGGTTCTGCATGAGTCCAGCACCACCCCCGCTTTCATTCGTTTGTGTGTTGTGTTTTTCTTTTGGGTGCACCTCTGACTTTTGTTGGGACGGTTCCCCTTAACGAGCACCTTTAATATTGAAATTTACGTACGGTCCGCGGAACATCGATGATGACTGATGAAGCGCGTTGGTTTTTACGGATCGTAGAATATCGAGAGACCCGAAGGAAAAGTTATCATCTTTTCTTTTTATAAAAAAACACCACCAAAAATATCAAATTATGTCACCTGTGACAAATTTACCTTAAGAACTTTTTTTTGTGACACGAAAAATCCCAAACTATGCCACTTATGACACATTTACCCCGCAATACATTTATCCAAGGGCATTTTCGTCTTCCTCTTTTTTCTTTTTTTTTTCCTTTCTTCTCTTCCCCTCCGCCGTGGCCGGCGGATGGAAGCCGGCGAGGGCGACCCTCGCCCGACGCCCGCGAGGGCCGCCCGACGATGGCGAGGGCCACCCTCGCCTGAGTCGGGCGAGAGTCGCCCTCACCACCCTCGCCCGCCCAGGCGAGGGCGACCCTCACCGGCGTCGGGTGAGGGCGGCCCTCGCCCGACACCGGCTTCCCTCCGCCGGCCACGGCATAGGGGAAGAGAAGAAAGAAAAAAAAAGGAAAAAAAAAATAGAAAAAAGAGAAAGACAAAAATGCCCTTGGACAAATGTATTGTGGGGTAAATGTGTCACAAATGACATAGTTTAAGGTTTTTGGTGATGTTTTCCCTTTTTTAATTTCTACGCTCTTCGAGTGGATTAAATTTGCCCTGGCCAATGCCTTGAAGATACTCACGGGTATTGTCACGGCAATATCGCGGGCATCGTGAATGAGAGCGATCAATGCGGCGTCTTCTGTAGCGCGGCGGCGTGACATCGTTCGCACGCGAAAGGGTAACCGTGGATGCGAAGGAATTACGTGGCAATTCTCGATGTGACCCGTGCGCTCGAGATGACGCTGCGCGTGATTAAACGACCGGGTTTAATCCAAAATCGATTCTTTTCGTTCCCTCGAAAATATACTCGTGAGCATCCATAACAGAAGATTGCCATAATCAATAATCCAAATTGGTACAAATTAAACGAGAGAAATAGGAATTTATTTTGAGGATTAATACCATGAAAAATCCCAAATTGGTACATCTATGACAAATTTACCCTCCGTCAGTTTCTGTTAAATTTTACTGTCAAATTACCCAGTTAAATGACACATAATAGTTGACGGATGTAACAGTTGACGGTTTTACCATCCGTTTGTCGTAGGTATACGAGTTTGTGGCTTTTTTTTAATATTAATCTAATTTAACGGATGGTAAAATTATCATAAGTGTACCGATTTAAGATTTTTGATGATAAAAAAAATAAATTTTGTGTAAATTTATCATAAATATATAAGTTTGAGGTTTTTTATGATATTAATTTTTATTTTTATTAACGATAATCGATGAGTGTATGGACACGCAGAGTCATCAACAACCACGTGATGATGATGATGATGATGATGATGGATGATGGCGGCGACCTTGAATTTGACGTGCATTTTAGCTCCACGTGATTCTATCTCTCCTATCTCCAGGTTGTCTTGTCAGAACAGCATGCCACTTGGCACCGACCCTTCACCTTCGACGTCCGTACGCCTCGGCATTTGATTATTCCGACTGGTCCAGATTTACTTGGGAGGTTAAATTTCATAAGCCAATCCAGAAAATCAAGGTGAGAAACCAGAAGATCAACGCAATTCATGTGATTATCGATTAGGGGTGTCCGGATCGATTTTTGCGCTCCTCGACCAGTTCATCTTTTCCCCGGGGCGATCTTCGGGGCAATGCTCCCGAATAGGCTTGAGGGGGTCAATCTACGGGATTTTGTTACTGAACATAAGACACATCGATGAATTTCAAGGACAGTGCCCATTGTGGAGGGACAAAGTATGGAGACTTATAGAGATGCCTCGATGGAGCGGATAAAGTCCGGTCGGGTTTGCAATCGAGCCGAACTTCATTACTCGCATGGTTCGGTCTTTAAGCGGGACCATCTTTTCTATACTGAAATCCTTCATAAGTTCAACCTAGTTTGCATCACGATATAATGCAAATATTTTTCTCAACGAAGCTTTCGCAAAGCTGCATAGTTATGGTCCGACAGCTTCATCATCATCATGGATCGTACGTTGTCATGATCGAAGCTGCATGGACTGTTCGGACTGGTTTGGTCTAGTAGGCTGGGCTCTGCTCTTTGTTTGGGCCGAAACTGGACTCTGGTTTTGTTAGGTGAGCGAAAACGAACCTTGCCTCTGCCTCTCTTGTTTACCATATCATTGTGTTATGCTGATATCCCTCGAGGAAACTTTGGGAGACCCGTCCATGGCGATGCTGCGGGAATTCGTCCCTTTGTTCTCTTCCTAACATCTGCACACCAGAGACGGAGCGATCCTCAGGTGAGCGAGTTTTCCGGATATGGAGTCGAGTCGCTATTGGAATCGACAAACAGTTCGATCGGTTGCAGACCCTTTATGAGTGCTTGGCGTGAAGTAAAGACTTTAGTTCAATTCTCCTAGGTACATCAGCTGCCGCTAGGACTCATACTAATGGTGCTATAACGAGGTTAGATCGGTAGTGGCGGGAGCGGAATGCTGGACAGTTCTCCGCCCTCGGCTCTCGTCTTCTCAGTCCTTGGGGGGCTCGAGAACTCGTCCACGGTCTTGGTCAGCCACGCACTTGGTGCAGGGCTCCTCCTAATGGGGCCTTGAGCTTCATAGGATGGTTTCTCTCGTATACATTTCCTGACTGCAAATAGCATGGACATCTCGACCAAATAAAATGGTCCAAACAAACTTGATGAGCAGACCTGCAAAGACTTAAACTGCTTGCATGCTTTTGCATCTTTCTAGCAAAAAACGATATTTAACTTTTTCAAGATCTAATTACCTTTTGATTTTTCCTTGTTCTCTCCACGCTGTCTTTGGAGATACCAAAACTTCGATTTGCCCGCCTCTCCGATGATACAGAAGCAAGAGGTTCCAAAAGGACAACGAAGTAGGATATCTATGAAGGCTTTGTGAGCAACGCGACTCGTTTACAACGATTAGGATACACAGAAAACGCATGGTTGGTATCTAAAAGCATGAACATGTACAAAAAGACCAAAAGAGCGAAACCTCGAGGCTTGCCGCTTCCCTCGACAATTTGTCATCACCTTCATTGCATACGAGCAAGCCTCTTGATCTTGTCAAAGCAGGACAAAACCATTTCCTAGCTATCTCAGCCTCTTAGTTTGAACAATTACATTCAAGATGAGAATATGTCAGTTATATAAATTCGTGCGCAGCCTCGTTTAATCCTTCTCCGCTCGAACTATCCTTCTACTCAGCATTCGTGGGCTAATTTTCTAGTTCTGTAAGAATGGGTTTCGTGAGGTTCCAGACAAAAAGGATGGGGGAAACCCTTCTGCCACGAGAGTCGCCAGCCTCGGCCGACTGCCCGAGGCATGTGGTCATAGTGATGGATGGCATGAAGAGGTTCACGACAGCTCCACTGGAGTGGGCGCTCGAGAATCTGATCACCATCGGCTGTACTATCACCCTTATAGGCGTGATGCCGTGGTTGAACATTCCTCGTGAGTCCTTAATTTCTGCTTAGATTCCACGTCTTGCACAACTTCTGCTTTCATGATCTCAAATATGTTTCTTGGGACTTGGTGCTTGCAGTTTCTGGCAAAATCTGGTCTGATGTGTGGCCGGTGGAATGGGAGACCTTGGCGAATCTACAAGAGAGGAATGAGTGGAGAAGTGATGTGAAATATCTAAAGTTGCAGGCAGTGATTGATCTCTGCAAGAGATATGGGGTAAATTAGCTCCAAGATCAACTCTCTCTCGATAAACTTTTTGCCCAGAAAGGAACTGTCTCTGTAAACTTATCATTAGGGGTTCAGATTTGAGAATGTTACTTAGGCATTATAGGTAATGCAGGTGGTGCCTCAAAAGGATGTGGTGATGGGTTATCCTTCAAAGCTTCTGGTTGTGGAGAAAATCACAAGCCTTCATGCCACATGGGTTGTCTTTGATAGGTAATACACCATCAAATTTGTTTGAAAAGATTCACTTGCTGCACCTCTATACGGTGAACCATTTTTCACATGAGCACGTGCATGTTGCATCACTCTAGATTTAGCCCAAGTAACACTCTCTAACCAAGAGTAAGCGAGTCCCTAAGAAGACCGCCAGTCTTGAGTGCATCGACCACTCACGAACTGTTGATACATGTGATATGATCGCCACTGCATCGACACGGCACGACCCATCAATGTTCATTACGAGACGATCTTTTTTAAGCGGTGGATGCGCATTTAAAGGATACCTTGTCTGAGGGCTACTTAAACTTTGGTCGATGGTGTCATGGCAGGCATCAGAGAAAGAACAGGGAGTTCTATGCCGAGAGAATTCCATGCAACATGGTGATGATGAATCAGAACGGAGAGGGAGACATGTTCAGAGGCAGAAGCTGCATGAGTGACAGTGAAGGCAGCACTCCAGGGGAGTCTCCTGCCTCCTTTGTGCCCACACCAGAGGTTTTGATCTCTGAAGAGCTCAGGGAAATCCTCAGGCAGAGACTGTGAGCCCAAACCGTATTTCGTATTCTATGTTATGAGCTGGTTGGATTTGATCCACAATCATAAAATAAAAATTGTGTTTATGGATGTACGGCTTGTAATAGCGTCAAATCTACCACGGCCACACCCTCCAATTGTCGCGCTTTCTGATCCTTTTTTGTATTGCCTTGGTTCTGTTTCTGACCATCTGCGCTTGATGCTTTTAAGCAAAGTTGCCCCCTTTTTTTTTTTTTTATCTTCTTCTGTTGCAGATGTATGAATAAAAGACGTCGAAATTGGATTCTAGGTTTATTCTGGAGTTCTCTCTTTCCAAATTGTTTTAAGTTTTAAGGATTGAGTGAAGAAATTGAATGGAGTTAGGCAAGGACAGATTCTTTCTAAATGCCACGGAACTTGGTGATGACGACACAAATAAGTGAGAAAGTGAAATAAAGCATTAAGCAAAAGGTTGTAGCCTTAAAGCAGAATGAAGATTCTCACTATAGTGCCACCAACAGGAGTAATGATACTCATTAGATCCTCACAAAACTTTCGGTTGGCTTTCAACTACAAGATAGATTGCAACCGAGTTCTGTAAGAACAGTTGCAGACGAAGGATATAGATCTCTTTGCTAAAACCTGTACTTCCAACAATAAAAACGAACCCGAACAAGGTTGGAAAGAAGTAGTTCCGAAATCCGACCATGAAGAAGAGAAATAGACGTAAGACAATCTTCCTCCCATCTTCTTCCTGCAGAAATGGAGGCATCAAGATTCATAGCAGTTCTTGCATGGGGACTACTTACCGGGGTTGAACCGTGGCCAAGTGAAAACAATACCTAAACATTCATTTTCAGCTACCAGAGACTAGCTCTCGTGCCGTGCATGATTAATCATTTTTTTCCTCAAAGCTCACGTCGAAAGGTAGAACTGGTCGTAAGTTAAGTTCACCCGACTCATCTTGACCTAGCAAAAGCTCCATATGATGTTCACCGTGCAACCCTAGCGATGGGAAGCAAACTGACACAAAAGGAAATGCAAATCTCCATAAGTTGAGAGAGAAAGAGAGAGAGAGCATCATTGTCTTATGGTCATCGCATGTAATAATCATTCATGGGAATATATCTCTCCATCTAGTATGCATTAGACCAGTTCTTTTTTCCCTAAAAGCCCATCACATTCCATACATGCTTCATCAATTAGATTCCTCATGCCTTTTCCTTGTTCCATGACAAATGAATGTTTCACCATGTTTGTGGGTCCTTTGGAATCTTGGGCATTGCTATTATCTTATGTTCCATGGCATATGTTCCTGCCCTCAACAAATAGTAGCTGCATAAATTAGCATCTAGAGAAAAAGCCCCACCACCACAGGAAGCTACAAATAGGTAAAAATATTCTTTTTTTTTTTTCCCTTCCCCTTTCTTTCTCGATGATGGAGGATCCACGCCCGGTCAAATGGCGTTCGCAACCACCGGATGAACGAACCCACCCGGGATTCCGACTAGGGAGGCACCGAATGCATGAGAATGCGTGGCACTGTTGGTCCATACCCGCCGTGCCCATTTGCTAAAAATAGATCAAACAAGCTAATATAGACTCTTTCATAAAGATTGTATAAAATTAATTAGAGTGTGTATAGTATAATTTTGATATGAAATTCGGTATGACTATCGTTTTAATCCATAAAAGCAGATACATACTAATTATTATCACACACACACACACACACACACACACACACACACATATATAAAGTGGCATGCCTAAAGAATAGTTAGTCAGAGAGAAAAGCCTAGCTAGAGCATCTATGCCTAGATTTTGGAACGCCCATATAATCATACGATCCGTTAAAGATGGTTTGAAAAAAGCCCTAACTTTGATTAAAGTACTCGAGGTTGGTTAAGTCATGGGAATTAGAAGAGCATCAGTGGAGGATAATGATGCTAGTGCTCGTCAACAAGAGTTCTAGGCACTTCGAAAGCCCGCTTTCTCTTTACCATGATTACCTTGTTAGGTCCAAATAAGCAACTAAACAAAGGGGCTAAAGGGGTTTTTCAAGAAAATACGCACTAATTTTGTAGAAGCAACCTCCGATAAATAACTAGCAATATAAGGAGCAACAATTAACGAGGTTAGGGAAAGAGCAACTGCAAACGAGATTTGTAAAGGTTCGCCTTGGGTGTACTTACTTCCTCTTCCAATTCTAGAGGCCTAAATAGGATGAATTCTACTAGTTACATCAGGGCTTTCTTTTTACAACAACCACGCTGTAGGCTAAGTAAATTCTGGACCACGCAACGGTGATTCTCATATCTTGTACACACAGCATGGTAGATCCCTCTCTCCAGAGCTAAAATCGCGTTATCTAAGTGCTTACAAATTAAGGTTCCTTTATACACTTTGTCTATCACCTAAACAAATGCCTTTATTTTAAGTTCAATCGCTTCTCTCATGTGTTTAAACATGAATCTGCAGTCGCTCTTACTACCTCTCTAAAAACAACACTAGAATAGATTTTACAAGCCTTTAAAAAGAGATGGACAAAAAAACCTCTTAACAACGCTCGTTTTCTCCTGTATTTGCCATTTCCGACTATATGACTTTTCTCCTTCCAATTTATAGAGGTCCGAATTCGAACTTTGCAATTGGATCTGGTAGTTGTCATATCCATCTAAATCTCTGTCAAATCCCTTGAAAAACACGTCTAGAACATTCCCTTAATCTACACTATCAATCAGATTTTCTATTGACGACGGATTTTGATCATGCCATCTCACCGATTGCTTCGGCAAATTAGTCTTTGATTTTTGACATAATAATCTTGGAATACAATACTTTATTGCTACGAGTCAAGGTCTTCAATTTTGGAAACTCTAACGATCGTTGAATTTATATATCGAAAGCATCCGATGATAGGGTTTGATTATTTTACAGAACCATGCAAGATTTTGGTTTTACATCCTTCCTTTGCGGTTTTCAAACTCAGTAAAATTTGACTTGTATACCTGGAGACCCAAATCCAAAGTCCTACATAATTGAGATATTTAGTCCCTAGACACATAAATGAAAACATTAAACTACATTTGGGCAACAATCCTCTAAATCTTTAAGAGATACTTTCCACCAAACCTTAAATTTAACTTTGGAGAAAGGGATATTTTTGGTGGAATGCATAGGGCTAGCCACTACAAAAGAAACAAGAAAACTAAGCAAGAGGTTTTTAAATTAGAGCGATGCCAAGAACAACATGCAATTACGACAGCAACATATAATTGTATGATAATGTCAAGCAATAGACATTGGAGTCATCTACAGAATGCATACCTACCCACTTTTACTTGTTCTTGCTCAAATCCTTAAATTAAGAAAACCAAAAAAAGATAAGCAGATACTTAGATCAGTGGGATTGATGAATGTGTAAAGCAATATCTTTGGATCTGTCCCATTATCGATTTAAAGAGTCAAGGAGTCACATTCCCAAGATTGAAAATTGTTTTTTGGTAAAGCATTGTTAATGCTTGCTTTTGAGAAAGAGAGGGAGAGAAAGCGACGAAAAGGCGAGCGCAAGTTGCTGGACCGTCGTGAGCTTTCCTGAAGTCTTCGCACGCCCCTTGGCAACTTGCTAGTCTAGAAGGAAGGAAGAAGATGATAACCCTTGATCGATTAGGGTTAATTGCACACTTCCTTTCGATGCTTCGCAATGATCACTCTTGCTAATGTGTGTGCTGACAATTAAGTACGTAGCATATGTTTCTACCGAGTGAACGCGAGTATACCGTCGTGTTGTCGCTTTTATTCGATCTCATTCTCGGTTAAGTGTGGTATTAAATAGTCATGAGATGTTCGGTAGATAGTCGGTGCTGGTCTATAAATAACCGAGAATTACAAGCATATGGATAGAAGCCCTTCGATTTCCGCGCTTAAAGGCGCCACGCGATACGAATGAGCTAAAACGATGTGCTTAATTCAACCGAAGATTGGTGAAGAATGTCTTGAATTTTATACCTGGATAATTTCCAATTCCCTACTTTTGACGTGGTTATTTGAGCTTTGACGGATCGGGGAGCCGCGCGTGGTCTGGCGCGCACGATTCGGATAGGGAATACCACCTCACCGCCCCGATAACCTCCATCGCTTAAACAAACACGATACACACGGTTGGACGATACAATGTCGAGAACCTAGGGAAAACCAAGTGGCGAACCATCGCCGCGATCTCCGATCCCGACCCGGGCGGCTCCAATCTGACCGGCCGGACCCCTCCCCCCTCACCGGCCGAAATCTAACCTAGGATATCACCTGGCCCTAATCATAAAAAATAAATAATAATAATAAAAAAAATGACGCAAAAAATATATATATAAAAAAAAAATGTGTCACTGATGTTGAATACAACAAGGGGGACTAGGCCGGCCGTTCGAGGAAGTTAAGCGTTGCGCTCTGGGGCCCAAAGGCGGGGCCCAACACGGAGGGCTCTCAATTATTGAAGCCGTGGACCCGAAACGACGTCGCGACGCGGGGGCATCCGTCAATAAAACGGCAGCACAAAGCAAAGTGCGGAACACGGCGCGCGACGAAGCTCCCCCCCTCCTCTTCCTTTTTCGCTTGGTCAAGCTTGGCGTGCCGCGACACGCATTTATAAAAAACAAAAAAAACAACAACAACAACAAAAAAATTGAAATGAAAAAGGAAAAAAATAAATAAATAATAAATGAAAAAAAAAATAGCAAGTGGGGGTTTCTAAAGGGCTTACTTTGACCCTCAATTGTACCACCGCATTCCGCAGTCAAATTCAACCATCCACATTACTTTCTCCCCTAAATTTAAGAATTAAAAAAGCTTTTGTTATTTTTCTTGAAATTTCCTATTTTTTATTTTTTTTTAAAAATTTATTCTCCGACCGAGAAAATGATTTAACTTTTTCCCGGGTGGAACGTGCCGTCCCCAGGGAGCCACATGATTAAGCTCTGTGCCACCCCCGTGTAAATTTAGCGAAAAAGGCTATTGAGATTCGATTGATTAGAGGCACTAATAACAAAGGACGGTGTTTGTTGGGGGAGGAGGGGTTATGATTTATTAGTGGGTTAAGCATGCATTCGCAAAAGCGACACCGCGAAATCATTTCCCGGAAGAAGCATCCCCGATCGCTTGTTTCTCCCCTGGTCGGCCGTTACCGCCCCGTCGAGCTGCATTTCTCGGAATGCCGACGTCGAAGATGAGCCGGGCGTTATGTCGTCGGGAAAGAAAATTTCCCCGGCGACGAGAGCGCTCGACCCGGAAGTTTGGAATCGCGTGAGAAAATGACCCGGCCTAGCA